TTGAAATGGAATAGTGCGTCTTGCTCTGAACATGAGCCACAATATTGCCGTTGTCATCCGCTTCAATAATGACACGATTTTTGCTCTGCTGCTCTTGTACCAAGCATACCTTTTCCACTCCTTTGATAATGAAGTAACCGCCTGGGTCAAGAGGACACTCCCGCATCGCGACCAGCTCCTCACGAGTCTTTCCAAACAGATTACATGAACTCGACTTCAGCATGATGGGAATTGTCCCAATTTTAATATCGGTCTCCGTGCACGGCCGTTTGTTGCGGTCACGACTTGTATACTCCACATCCACAATCATATCCCCACGATAGGTGAGATCGCGGGTCCTGCATTCGTGTGGAGAAACGACCTTTGGTAACTGCCCCTTCCCCACAATCTCCCTCGGTTGACAAACCCGGATATTTGTGTATCGAATGGAGAAGTCCGGGTCGATGCTGCTCTTAATCTCCCTGTTGGACTCATTCAAAAGAATCCTCTTCAACTCCACGTTTATTAAGTGGTCAAACGAGGCAATGTGGTGGTTCAAAAGTCCCTTCATTCCGATAAGTGCCGGCAGGAGCGCCAATTTCCGCGTGTTGTACGCGGCATCGTCACTGCCTCGAGTGGGCAAAGGCATCTCCCAAAAAAGTGATTTCCCAACAGGAAACCGAAAAAAAAAAAAAAACACTAAAAAAGTAAAATTTGGAGTGTGACGGGGTGGGGATCGCAATAAAAAAAAAGAAAAAAAAAAAGATGTAAACAACAGCAGACACACACAAAAAAAAAAAAACACGCACATCGCAGCACACACAGACAGTATAGAAGAAAAAATAAAAATAAAAATATATATACAGCAATTGAAAGTTGGCATCAGCAACAAGACTTAGCGTTCAGTAAAGGCGGTAAAATTCATACAAACACTTCATCGCCATTTTATTCGGAGCAGACATGAAGACGGTATTCCTCCATGATCTGTGTTGCGGCCGCCTCAAAGGTCGTTGAGGCGTAGCCCATCGAAGACACATCCATCACAAACAAACTGAAGTCACGAATGTAGCGAATACGTGCAGGAAGAAAGGCCGGAGTTGCTGCAATGATAAGGGCACACAAAAAAGAGATGCAGTTATCCGCTGTGGAGTCCTCATGGCAGCCATACCTAGTAAGGGCCTCCATTAAAAGCCCAAGCGTACAATCCATAGCTCGCATAAATGACAACACACTAAGCGACGTGGCATCCAGCACTCGTATCAGCTCAATCTCAGCTAAGAAACTACTCACCGGAAGCTTCTCAAGTAACGACGGAAGAAAATGCTGAAATGGGTACACTTGCTTCAGCTTATTGCACGCATGGCTAAAGGCAACGTTTTCCCTATTCATCAAGTCATCCCAGTGGGGTACCAATTTATGGCTCAACGCACCCGTCACAACAGCATGGAAGGCCACCAACACGTCCTCCTTCTCCCTTTCTACATCCACAAAGAAACAGCTCACGGCGTCAGCACCCGCAGTGGAAATTTGAAGAACCTTCGCGACGATCAGCGGCTCATAGCCAAGCATGCACACATAAGAGCTGGACATAATTCCCACCTCCGTCTCAACGAACAAAAAGGCGTCATCCAACTGCTTCTGCAATTCCATGCCTTCACAACCGGCATCCTTCTTCTGAAGGGGAATCCCCTCCAAAAAAGTCCGCAGCACATTCTCATCGTTTTTAAATTGTTGAAGGAGTGAGACCTCACCGGAGAAGTTGGGCTTCTGAAGTCTTGACCAAACATAATTCTGACCGCCGTTTATAGACATGGATGGGGACGCCGAAACAGACGCTGCCGCCTCACTCTCTAAAAGTGCGCCTGAAACGAACAACAGACAAAAATTTCCGCTTGTCCCGTAATTCTCACTCCCTCGAATTCCCAATTGAACAGAAGGCCTCCCAGGACGCAACAAACATACAAATCCAAGAAAAGGCGCATCTGTAGCGTCTTCACCATGGCATAACGTAAACTCGATGCGTACAGCATCCCCAGTAAAAGTAAACATTTCATCAAAGCTACTACCATGTAGTAAATGTCGTCGCACAACACTTTGTGATACTCGGCGAATAATACGCTGCTTAGATCCTCTGGTTCTCATAGAAAAGCCCGTCACGAATCGTTCCACATCATGGTTTGGTGGAATAAGAAGAACGTATTGTTTTCCCTCACAGGAGCTACTCGCAATAAGTGTGAGCAATGAGTTCATATGACCCACCAGCTCACAAAAAAGAATGGATTGCTCTCGTTCCTCATTAAAGGAGTGCGCCGATCCATTTGACATGTATTCATCACTTAATATAGATTATAAATAATATAATGTACGTCAATAAACAAGAAAAGGATGTTGGCAAACAAAACAAAAAAAAAAAAAAAAGGGAGAGAGAGAAAAAATAAAATAAAATAAATATAATATAATATAATACAATCAAATAGCGCAGAGCAACATCAATTGTCCATAACACATAAACCATTTAAAAAAAACTATTATGCTCAATCTTGGACCTTCCTCTTCCTCCTCCCATTTCCTTGTAAGACCGTCAGCATCTGCAGCTTTACCTTTAGTTGATCCCGAAGAGACTCCAACTCGTCATTCTTCTCCCGCTGACGCCGAATTGCGCTCACACAACAGTCACTGTCATTTTTATCCTCCGCCCTTAACTTCGTATCCCGGTCGCCAAAATCACCACCCCCATCCGACTCACGACAGCGACGTCGTGGCCCCGCAGCCAGAGGCTTCTTCTCTTCGGTAGCGCCTTCATACGGCAGAGAGGAAATGATGTAGTCCGTGGTGGACGGGTCAAGTGGATGCTTCATGAGGCCGACGCAAGGCCAAAGGACAGCCGTCAAGCTGTCCCTAGGAACATAACACATGCTCAAAACACCACCGGAAAAACGGGAAAATGCCTCGCTGTGCACCGCTTGTGTAGAGATACTCCACCACAGCAGAGCCCCGTTTTCACTTCCCACAATGGCATATCCAAGCCGCGCTGGATCAAACCAAATGAACAGAATAGCACCACTGTGTCCATCGCCAAAGGATTTGCGTTCTATAACACTTTCATTACGCCCATGCAGACTAATTGGGAAGTTTTGTTCCGACGCATTGCCATACAAATCAACAAAAAACAATGATCCTTTCGCGGAGCCAATAAGAAGCATCTCATCTCCCGGAGAAGGACGTACTGTCGTGGGTGCATCATCCAAAGTAATGACAAGTTGCTGTTGGCCCGTTAAGGCATTAAATATGCGACAGGTACGATCGGCCGACCCTGTCACAACCATAAACCCGCTTTCCATAAAGGAACAGGTATTCACCGCCAGGGTGTGCCCATGGAAGAAGGAGCATGGAGCCACTGTCTTGGAACCCCGAGCCACCAAGCTAACTAGTGACCAGGTCTTGCACACAGAATCCTCAGAAGCTGTAACAAGTAAGGACTGATCAGAAGAAATGGTGATTTCCGTGACACAGCGTCTATGTGCCCTGACAAGATGATAAAGCTGCCCCGTGAGTATGTTCCACACGTATACATTTCCCTCTGCTGTTCCACCAATAAGAAATACACCGTCAGCGGTGCATGCGGAGCACATGATAGGTTCCATCGTGAAGCTCCTTTGCACTGGCTGCTGTGTATGGGGT